TTAGGGTTTCTTTTGGTTTAGGGTTTATTTTGGTTTAGGGTTTATTAGGATTTAGGGTTTGTTAGGGTATGTTAGGGCTTCTTAGTTTAGGGCTTCTGGGGGTTTAGGGCGTAGGGTTTAAATTGTGGTATAGGCTCGTAGGTACTTTATTGCAAGCTGCCTGGCCTCATCATCTGACCATCGCTAATCGATGACAATCACAGTAAATCCTGCAGTTCATTTGTAGTCACAATCATTAAGATCATTCCGTGGAGTCAGATTAGAGCCACATAGCTACGATTGATGATATAAATCCTGCATTACCCATAGTGAGGAATATATCATAATTCTCATAGTTTAGAGCCCTTAAGGTGATGCAGGATATGTATGTGTGTATATATATATATATATATCATCAACAACAACAATAGTACCCAAAAGCTGGGATCTTGTTGAAGGATTTAACTTAAGCTGCTAAAGAAAAGGATGCATGTTATTTTCTATAGATCCCTATTGTGGCAACTCAAGTTAAATCCCTTAACAAGAACCCGGAAAACCCTAAACGATTAAACCCCAAACCCTAAAGCCTAAACTTTCCTAAACCCTAAACCGCTGTGCCAAGTCGCTATTGGTCCGATCGTCCGGCTCGGCTGTGGCGCCAGGCTCGGGCTCGAAAAAGCGCGACCTCGGTGACGACGCTGAAGTCTTAGGGTTTAGGGTTTTAGGGTTTAGGGTTTTGGGAAGTTTAGGGTTTAGGGTTTAGGGAAGTTTAGGGTTTAGGGTTTTGGGAAGTTTAGGGTTTAGGGTTTAGGGAAGTTTAAGGTTTAGGGCTTGGGGTCTCAATCTCGAGGGTTCAGGGCCGTGGGGTGAAGCTGGAAAGTTGAGTAATTATTAAGTAAACCCTAAACCCTAACCCTAAAACCCTAGACCCCTAAACCCCTAAACCCCTAACCCCTCAACTCTATTAAGGCTTAAACCCTAAACCCTAAACCCTAAACCCTAAATCCCTATATTACTTCTTCTTTATTGGCCCCCGGGGATCCCCAATCGACCTGGGCTCTCTGAGCTCCGGGCGCGCGGCGGTTTGCAGGTGCCGAGATCCTTCCGAAGTTTTAGGGTTTAGGGTTTAGGGTTTAGGGTTTAGGGGTTCCGGGGGCTTTTTTGGGGCTTATAGGGTTTAAGGTTTAGGGTTGTTTTGGGAGCTTTTTGGGATAGGGCTTACAAGAAGTGTAGGGCTTTGGGCTTTTGCGGGGCTTATAGGGCTTATAAGAAGTTGTTGGGGCTTTTAGGGCTTTTGGGGCTTTTTGGGGGCTTAATTAAATTAAGGCTTAGGGCGTTAGGGCGTTCAAGGCTTTGAGATGTTGGGCTTGCTTTTTTGGGGGCGTTATAGGGCTTATTTTAAGGCTTATAGGGCTTTCTTAAGGCTTTGAGGGTGATTTGTTTTGGAGGGGGGGTGCTATAAGTGTTACCACACGGGTCACTTGCAAGGGCAACTCACTCCAATATCTCAGGTTTTCCCTAAACCCTAAACCCTAAACCCTAAACCCTAAACCCGACCGGCGTGGTGTTCAAGGGGTGTAGGGTTCATGGTTTCCCGACCCAGGGTCTGAGGATTTGGCGGCTCAGGGTTTACCAGCACTCCCCAACTACCCACTATTGTACCCTAAGTACCCACTATTAAGGACCATAAGGGCTCTATTAAAGGGTACTTGGGCGGTTCAGGGTTTAGGATCGGATCCCATCCCTTAGACCGGCCCTTCTCCCACCCCCCTCCCTAATCGCCCCAAGCACAAGATGCGGAGGCCACCAAACCGAAGGCCAACCCTGAACCCTAAACCCTAAGCCCTAAGTTAAGGGTTAAGGGTTTAAGGGTAAGGGGGTTAGGGTTCAGAAGTTCAGGACTTGGAGCGTAATTAATGTAGGGGCCTTAATAATTAGATAGGGTTTTGGGGTCCTGAATACTATACTTATAATAAGGAACCCCCAAAGTAGTATTGGTCATTGTTTAGGCCCCTATATTACTTCAGTCAGTACCCGGCGTCAGCTGCCACAGCAAGCCGCTAAATATTCCCACGTGATGCGTTGATTCATCTCCTGAAACTTCCCTGGGGCTCCAGTTGCCTAGGCCTAAGCAGTAGTTCACTACTAAGATAATCGCTTCTTAGATCCTCAAAAGCCCGTCGCTCCGCACCCACTTATTCTAACAGACACAGCGCTCTGTCTGTGTGCTTTATTGCAAACCGATAGAGCCTTGGCATACTTGGGTCTGTAGTAAGTACAAGAAACCGGGGATCCAACAAGAGCAAGTCGTATATAGCTTGCAGCATACGCATAAATAAATAAATAAATAAATAAATATATATATATATATATATGTTTGTATGGATGGTGTACATGTGTGTGTCTGTAGCAAAAATAGAAAAAGATGCAGTACATAGTATATGGTATATAGTTATGTAGTGCATACTATATGCAGTGTATAAAGGCATACATGCATATATATATATATATATACATACACACACATAGATACACACATAGGTAGATAGATAGATAGATAGATAGATAGATAGATCGATCGATAGATAGATAGATAGATTCGATAGATAGATTCGATACATAGATAGATTCGATAGATAGATAAATCGATAGAGAGATAGATCGATACATAGAAAGATAGATAGACAGATAGATAGTAAGTCCTGCATCGTAGGCGGCATCTATCGCGGCATCTAAGGACTGCAGGCCATCCTCCGCAGGAGGGGCTGAGGTTCGGGGCATCTTCAGAATCCAAGACACAAGGTTTTAGGGCTTAATTAGGGCTGATAGGGTTCAGGGCTTGATTAGGGCTGATAGGGTTTAGGGCTTAATATGGGCTTCAGCTTTATAGGGTTTTGGGATGGCTTGCCGTTTGCGGGCAGAGACTGGACGCATCTGTGAGCACAGCTGCCTGCACAAAAAAGATTACGAGCAGTCACCGTTTTTTGAAGCACTCTAAACAACATCGCCCCTCCGACGCTTAACTGTGGTCGGGAAGCGGAGTGGACTTTCGTGTTCGTTGGACTCGGGCCGAGGACAGTCAGGCTTTACGGTCTAAGTTGAGGGCTTTATGAAGGACGCTTCAGCTGTTGATTCTCCGCATTGTGGATGTGCATTTGTGCTCAGGATTTGTGGACTACGCTTTGCTCGAACAGTCCGCCTTACCGCTGCAGCAACTGTCGCATGTGGAACATTGAAGCCAAACAGCCGACAGAACTCCTGCTCGTAACTTTCTCTGAATAGGGTGGCAGATCCCTAATATAGTACCCTAAATAATAAGATCCCTAGAATAAGGACCCCAAAATAAGGTACCAGGGCGGTTCCTGCACATCGCCGCCAAGCCAGCTGCGACGGAGCTTCACGAAATGCTCGTACTCCTGCCAGCGTCGGGTGCTTCGTACCCGAGACGATACAACCCCCAGATCACCGTAGATATCATCATCGACGAGGCACGGCAGTGGAATGGATACTTCTGAAAGAGTTGGCGTTCAGTGAAGGTCATGTCGATGCGAAGATTGCCTCCGTGAGCCTAAGTCGTCGGTGCTCATGCTTGTTACTACTTCTGAATTACCACAACAACGTTGAAAGCAAAAGTGGCGAGCTGAACGCGGAAACCCTAAACCCTAAACCCTAAGCCCTAAACCCCTAAACCCCTAACCCCTAAACCCTAAACCCCAAAAACTTGTTGGAAAAGTTAACGACGATGTGACGACCAGCCTGCATAAAGAATAGTAGCACTGGCACCGAGCCGAAGCGCTGTACCATCACTCGTCGTCGTCGCCGTCATCATAGGTAGTTGTGTAGGGTTTAGGGTTTAGGGTTTAGGGCTGTGTGGGTATACCTATAGTAACAGCAGCAGCAGGAGCAGCAGCGGCAGGAGAAGCAAGAGCAAGCGGAGGAAGAGGAGGACGAGGAGGAGGAGTGCAGTAGCAGCATAAGTAGCAGCAGCAGTAGAAGTAGTGGCAGTAGTAG